TTGGGTTAGATGGAGTAAATATAATTGCGTCGGTAAACCCGCCACAGCCATCTAGTAAGGTTTGTCACGTAAACAAAACGTGCCAACTCATTACTTGTCCTGCACTGACCGGTGTGTTGGAGAGTAAACCCACTACAACATTTACAATTCGAGTACTGTGACGTTTCTCCGGCAATTACAAGAACCAGCATCATCAGGCGATAGCCAGAGTTGTGGATAAATCCTCCTCCTGTTTCGGTCTTCAATAGAGGGGGCGAATGTGATGTCATCACTCGTGAGCCAATCATGTGCGAGGACCAGATTGGGGGGGGGGATCTGTCGCCACATACAGATGCAGTATTGTATGTAAAACGAAATCTTCAGTGCATTACTCTTAATTGGCTTTCCAAATCGATGTTGTGCGGCGACATTTAATCAAAGCAAGCAACTTCTGGATGAGATTTGACCTTCGGCGGTCTCATCAGAAGAGTCAAGGCTTGCTATACGAATGCCACTGGGCTACCGACGCTGTTGGCCAGAACATTCATCTAAAACCTGTGCAGAGCTTGCTTGCTTCAGCAGATTCTGCTGGATAATATTGCTTTGGAAGGCCAATTGTAGTGATGGACTACAACTTGTTGTTATTGTTGCTTTAGTGTGTGATGTACGTGCAGACACGTGGTATTTCCGGTTAAAAATTATTTACCCACAATTCTTCGCAGCAGGGCCTTATGGGTTTAGGTTAACAGTGAGAGACTTGGAGATAGTGAAGATGTAGGAAAGTGTGGGTTGTTAATACGTTACTGGGATAGGCGGTGCGGGGGAGATGATAGTGGAGGATCACGTGAGTGGGCAGTGGAATGCATCAGAATGTTTATTTAGACTGGATGAGGAATCAGATGAGCCATGAAGCTCTTTTTCACAGTAGGGGCGAGTCAGCAAGTTACAACAACAGACACCGAAAAAAAATCTGTCTGCTACGAACATAAATGACAGGGCAGTAGATTCAATGATAATACGAATAAAAAATAAATTTTCAACTTGTGAGACGCTGCAACAGTTTCACTCGCTCTCGAAGAGAGGGCACGGGGTGACCAATAAATTCCGACTTGGTGTGTAATAAGGAAGGCACTGATAAGGAGTTGACAGGTATGTTTACGCGTACACGGATTTGAAGCGTTGCCAACTCGCGATGACATAACAAAGTGTATCAGGGAACAATGTGTATCTCGTGCTTGCTCCTATGGGAGGATTCTGGATCTCATCCACTGGGCAAAATTACGTAACGTGGCTGCACTTGATATCAATCCGCTCGGCGCGCTCTCAATTTAACCACGCAAATTACACGGCCAATTCTGCATTCGCGTTCTTCAATGTGCCGTCCTCCAGCCAAAAACGATGCCATCCTCTAGTCGTCGAGGTCAATTCAAACCTATTCGGATATGTTTAACACGCAGTAGTAGGAAGCTTTCGCGACCAATATAATTACGTATAATCAAATGTTTTTTGGGGGGGTTAGATCGCTTAAATATAAATGCGTCTTCTTGGTTCCTTCGGTAAAGTAACGTAGAATGGAAATAATAAAATTATAAAAATAAAACATAATAAAATAATTCTCACGACGTTTCGGCCACAACGCAAGCAGCCGTCCTCAGGTGAAGAACAGGTCTGCAGTCACGAAAGCTTTAAATCGAAATATAAATGCGTCGTTGAGCGCGCCACCACACGACACGGCCAATTCGTAAAGTTTGTCACGTAAACAAAACGTGCCAATTAGTTACTAGATCAGCACACCGGCGTGTTGGAGAGCAAGCCAGCGTTGTGAAAGAAGTCTTCCCTTTTTCGGCCTATTCGGGTACACTCTCGTGGCCTGCAAGCTATCCCCGTGTTGAACACAGAGGGTAGCATCTCTTGTCCAGAGCGCAGTGGTTGCCCATGGGACATGTACAGCGCCTTTTCAATTCACTGCCGAATGTTATTTGACTATACTTCGCCACACCGGTAGTTTGTGCCAGTGTGGTGGGGAGCATAGATGTACAGTAGTACAATTAATCTTTCTGCACGGTCCTCTACTGCCCCCCCCCCCCAACCACAGCAGCCTAGACCAGGGGTCGGTAGCCTGCGGCTCGAGAGCCGTATGCGGCTCTTTGAGAAGGGACCGCGACTGCTGCTTCGTGTCGTTGTTTATTAAAGGACCGACCACCGCGTTCACCGCAGTGGCATTGCGGCTTCTTGAAATATTGAGTTCTTTTTTTGTTGTCGTTACCCAATTCTAATCAAAAATGCATCTTCTTGTGATTTTTCGCTGCCGCCACTCTGGCCTATACCAAGCCGTTACCATCCCAGCAAGCCCTTTGCCCGGGCTACGACCTGCTTTAGCCTCCACGATGTGGCGACAGCGTGCACGCTGCGGGCGATTCTCGTTCGCAGAGGCGGTTGCGGTCCACCACCTTGCAACATATTCACCCCGATGCCTGTAAGAGGTTGTAATTCATCATTCTCCTTTTCCACAAACCTGACAATGCCTGTAGTCGGGTGTAGTGGCACGCCTTGTGCTCAAGTGCTTTAGGAGGCAATGATTGGTGGGATCCCCACCCCCCCCCCCCTTCTATAGAGCGAGCATTTGGACCAACTATTCCACGCTGGTCAGACGTCTTGGAAGAGGTGGGACTCCCCCCCCCCCCAACTTGACCCCACTGCACGCGACCTGCCGATGGACCCGACTGCGATGTACCTCTTACTGCTGGGTTTGGGTCAAGATTTAATTTTACGAAAAAAATTGCCCCATTTTTCTTCAACTGCCACGCCAGGTCCAGCTTGCCAAAAACCATCACAGCCGTAGCAGCAAACCCTACACACGCGCGGCGTAACCCCCCCCCCCCCCCCCACGCCTGCCATCCAAACGCCTGAAGCCAGTATTTCACACGGATTATACACTGATAATAATGCGCTACACCAGTGCACGCTGCCGTATCGGACAGCCAACTCCAAAATCAACAACAAACACTCACACACTAAAAACGAGCTGGCAGCAGATCGAATGCACGTCCATCGTGGCTGATACGGCCTCCGCGGATGCCGATAAATGTGACCACTGCAGAGTTGCTGCCCCAGTACGTCCAAGTCCCCGGTGCCCACACAGACCTTTGCCGTGGTCGATGTTTTTTTTGTTCTCATTGCAAGCCAACGCCTTTATTTTATCCCGAGCTGCTGGGACATTCGTCAAACGCCAAGAGAGCTTCGGTGCAGCAGCGGGGCGCTCCAACGCACGCTTTGCTCCGCCGCACCTCCGATTGACACAGTTGGGCTACGTACGGCGCGAAAGAAGTTCAACATACAGTACATACATGGGGGGGGGGAGGGGGCCCGGGGAAAATTATACTGTATGCCCCCAACCCACACCTCCCAAGCCGAGATGCCTGAAAACTGAAACGGGAGTATTACATTTCACACCATGACGACGTCGTGGCGCGGAGCTAACCCCCACACCCAAAGCGCGGGGCCCGGGGCGGCCGCCCAGATTCGTCGTGTACCCTCGGGACAGCTCTGACCACCCACACTCATCTTAACGTCGCTTCACTCCAGGCCACTCCAACGACGTTGTAGTTCCTCTATTGTAAGGCAATGGTAATGATATGACCTATCCCCTCGCCCTCCCAGCTGGTCCCCTACCCACCCCACCCAGCCCTTCACCTCCAGCCCCAATCATGGCACTTAATCCTCGACAATCGAGGCACTGGCTGCACAGAACCACAACGTGTCGGGATGTCTCTCCGACCAAATCCAAAGGCGGCTCAATCTCTGACTATTTTATTATACTGGAGGGATCCAATGAGCTCTCTTTTCCACAGACGTATCGAGTGTCCGATGTGGCGTTGCGTGACAACACCATCAGCCTACAGGACGCTACTGCGTCCTTTTACTGGTAGGAACCACCTGGTTCCACCAGCCCACATGGGATTATTGTGTCCGTCCGGCGTGCATCCAAAAATGGGAGGGGTAGGGCTGGGTGGAGAGGGGAGGGGCTGGGTGGGGAGGGGCTGGTTGGGGAGGGGCTGGTTGGGGAGGGGCTGGTTGGGGAGGGCTGGGTGGGGAGGGTGGAGCTCGGTGGGGGTGGGGAGGGGCCGGTCACCCCGTGGTGCCCTTAGAAAACTCAACGTTTAACCTACTCACGCCGGCTTATGCCCGCCCTCACAGTCGGCGATATTTGCGGAATACACCACGCTGCCGTTGACCCTGGCCATTGACCGAGCAACCCAACGTTCCTACCAGCTCCCTCCGCAGGAATGTGTTATTAGACAAGTCACCTGCACGGTATCCGCGCTGTAGCCTACACAACCCCCGAAACGCTTTTGCAGACTGTGGCATCCGACGACCATGATGGATGGTACAGCAGTGGATAGACAGTGGCTTGCTGGTGATGATTTTGAACCAATACCCTTTTAGAGTGTATGCTTCTGACGTTCTTCAGTCAAAAGCAATAAGAGCAAATTAATCTTTAAGTCAACGGCGATGTGAAGCCCGTGGCTCTAAGACTTCCGCTGCCGATATCTATCCCGACTCGCTCAAAGCCACCACTCTAGATCGTGGCAAACCGGGGCGTCGTCGGAGTTGAAAAGATCTTCAATTTAAGCCACAAGTGACATTCTTGCTGAGCAAGGATCTACGGACTGGATGGGGAGGGGGGTCCCGATATCCACGTCTTAAAAGCTACTGCGAACTCATCGAGACAAATTGGTCTCGTGGTCTTTCGCCCAACCTCTCGACCCTTCTAAGTCACTAAACAACACCATTATGAATTAAGCCATCCTTCACTGCGTTCCATTCAAACCTTCATCACAAAGGCGCACCAATCGTATCGTATTCGAAGGCAATGCGATCTTAACTCGAAGCTCCAAACATCCCAGGGACAGGCTAGAGAAAGCCCCACGGAGCTACCCGTCCCGCATGCCGACGCCACTGCGAGCGGCGAACTCATTCCTCTCGGTGGCAAATCCGCGCCGAGGTCGTCGTCGTCCTACCTGTTGGGAGTATGGAGGCCTCGTGAGTTGGATGCCATCCCGCAGTAACTTATCCCGGATCATGATCTTCAGCTTGAGCTTCGGGTAGGTAATCCTCTCCCCATGAGTCCCAGCCTCCACCACCAACACCTCCTCCTCCTCGCCCCCACCACCATCATCATCGTCGTCATCCGTTGCCCACCGACCGATGCTTTGAATTCTCCTCGTGACCATAAGCTCCGTAAGCCAACGCATCCTCCTGCTGCTCATGCTGCTCCTGCTGCTGCTGCTTGCACGACACGGGATGGCCCTGCTCCACACAATAGACAAGCGGGCCGCCCCGAAGGCAATTCCCCGTTTCAGGTGATCCGTGCAGGAGGAGGTGTTGATATTGATATTGCTGCTGCTGATGATAATGCTGCTGCTGCTGCTGATGAAGGACATACTGACGGTGTCTCTCCGTGCCCGCGTGGCTATGCAGCAGGCAACGCAAGTCCACCCGCGCGCCTCCAGCCGCTACCGCTCGCTGGACACAACCAGCACGAGCAGCAGCAGCCGCAGCAGCAGCAGCAGTCGCGTGCGGAGGTTCCAGCGTGAAGTAGACGGCCGTGCCTCCGTCCTGCCGCAGCCTCGCCACGGCCGCGCGCAGCTTGCGGCGGTGCCTCCGCTCCAGCACGCCGATGGCGTCCAGGTCGGCGTCTCCGATCTGCTTGCAGATCTCCAGGTCGTCGTAGCCATTGTCCAGGAACGAGTCGGCGTACTGGCCCAGGCGCAGGGCTTTGAGCCACTCGCCCACGATGCTGTTGCAGCCGCCGCTGCCGCAGCTGTTGATGGCGCTGACGATGTTGCTGCTACTGCTGCTGGATGAATTAGCCATGCGTGCGAGCTGATCGGAGGCGCTCATCGATGAGACGAGTGGCACGGCAGAATGCGGTGGTGGTGGTGGTGGCGGAGGCAGCAGCAGGAGCGACGGAGTAGCGAGCGGCGCAAGCGATACATTTATTCTCACAAGAATGGGAACAAAAAGAAGAAGAGGGGGAGGAGGATGATGATGTGTGCTGTGTGTGTGGTGAGATGTGTGACGGCTACCGCACGTTGTCTATTCCGCAGCGAGGCGGTGGTGATGCTGGCTGTGTGGTGTTGGTGGTGATGCTGCGAGGAGGCATGGTATGTGACGCTCCGTGTTGGGTGCGCGCTCCGTGTGTTAGCGCTTCGCTCTTCACAAGCTCCCTCCCTCCCCCTCCCTCCCTCCCTCTCTCCCTCCCCCTCCCTCTCTCACACACTCTCACTTCAAGACACGCACAGACAGAGATCACCCGTGTAGCCTTAACCGACTGTCGGGACAAGTGCTTGCTAGCGAGCGCCTATGAATGGGTTGGATGAACAACACCACGCCCGGCCGCCTTTGTCTTCCCCACACTGGTGATGTTCACACAGCCGCGCCGGGTACTCGTTTGAGGCTGAGTCGACCTAGGGCCCAGGACCGGTTTAGATAACTGTCACTGGCGTTGGCCGTGAGCTGGGATTAAACACGGGCACACGCCCGTAGGCACACGGGCACACAGCTTCCAGGACGTGACGTCTGCACCAGCAGTGTGACAAAACGCACAGCAGCACTGGCAGCAGGCAGCATCACAAAGACAAAGATCCCCCGTATAGCCTCAAACAGACTTGTGGAGCAAGTGCTGTTAGCGAGCGCCTATGAAAGGTCGGCACGGCACACGAGGGGTGGGGGTGGATAGCACCAAGCCCGGTCGCCTTTGTCTCCCGAGTGGCGATGTTCACAGATCGCATCGGGTACTAATTTAAGGCTGAGTCGACCCAAGGGAGACTCGGTACACGTTCATATATTCGTCACTGGTGTTCCACTACTGCTCTCCAGGCAGTACACATCCACACACCGCTGGCTCTACAGATGCACACGCACGTCTACTCACAGTAGACTGGCGATGCATGTACATTGTACTCGACACTTCATCATCATCATTGATCGATCCACTGCTGGATGGATGCCTCCCCAAGTTGTAGCCACCTCCCGCGATCTAACAAAGCAATCCGGCACGCTCCATCTCCTCCTCGGTTGCCACGCAAAGACAAAGATCCCCCGTGTAGCCTTAACAGACGTTTAGGGCAAGTGCTGTTATCGAGCACCTATGAAGGTCGGCACGGCATTCGAGGGAGGTGGGTGACCAGCGCCACGCCCGACCGCCTTTGTTTCTCCACCGCACCATGTACTCTTTTGAGGTTGAGTCGAGCTAAGAGCGGATCACTGGCGTTGGCCGTGAGCTGGAATCGAACTCGGGTCTCCGGTTCGAATCGCAGTGCGCTAATCACTACGCCACCGATCGCCCAAACTGCCATACACAACACGGTATACAAACTCATATACTGCCAGATATGCATGCATGCATGTTCGTTGCTATAACATCGATTAGCTTACCAGTTATATGCGTGTATTCTAGGCTGTACTAATCAAACGTACTGAAACTCTGTTATGATCTGGCTGCATTACCAAGACAGCGAGCGCTGCATTGCATAAAACAAGTGGCGTTGATGATGATCGGCAAGATCCCATCCCACTCCGTGTGGAGAAGGGAGCGGTGGTGCAGCGCGTGTTAGCGCAACTGCGTCACGAGCCCCGGCCGCCCGAGTTCGATTCCGGCTCACGGCCAATTTCGGTGACTAAAATATGAACCGGTCCTGGGGCGAGGTGGAGCTTCCTTCTCTCGGCGGGACTCATCCTTGGCATGGTGTGAAAACAACAGCACTGGGGAAACAAAAGCGGCCGTGAGTGGTGTTGGCCACGCCGTGGTTTTTATGGGGAGGGGGTGAAGAGTGGCGGTCTTTGTCCATGCTGGTCTCACGTACAGCAACAATGTATCCCAACCCCAGAGTTGTTATTGAGGAAGAACGGCTCTGGCGACAGATAACTCTTTGTGGATTTGGCCCAAGAGGTTGCACATTGCCCTGTATCGCCACCGCGTGGCCACGAACGGGAGGTTGCAGGCGACGCCACGCTAACGTGGTTATCCACTGCTGGATGAAGCCCATCCCCTACCGATCCCACCGTGCGCAGTTGAACTGTATTCTCGGACGCGTCACAATTCATCGGTTGCCACTCCCCGTCATTACTCTTCAATCCGAATTTAGAATCACCGTATTTATTTATCCCGGAGATGGAAGACTTTTCAGTTTTTTCCTGGATGTTTCTGTTTGCGCATAGTCGCTTTAAGATGTTTTCTTGCTCATGTTTTTGTTTTTTGTTTGTTGCGGTTGCACCCGATTCAAGAGCCGAATGCCTCACAGGGCTATACCAAAGAAATTAAACTGAAACTGATGAGCTATGAAGCTCTTTCTGGCCGTGACGTGCCCTACCCAAACCCCACTTCCGTTCTCTATGACGTCGTTACGATGCCACGTGTTCAGTTGTTTTCATTTAGCTACCACGTGCCTGCCGGATTTGAGAAAGTTGAACAATTGGCAATTGTTGAAACTTGTTGAAAAATTGTTGAACAGTTGGCAATTGCATTGCGATGGCGTGATGCGATTATATCACAGAACGTGTCTCCCTGCTCGAGGGCGAGTGGTGTAGTCCGAAGCGAGTGGTGGAAATTACACATTCCTATGGTGGGGGATAGTAGTTTCATAACTATTGATTTCCCGCAAAATGGTACTAATCACCGAGAGCCGTCGTCTACTGCATAATCCAATAACAGATGTTGTGGTTGTTGTGTGGACATCCAATAGCAGTTTAAGAATAGGTGTTACCCTTTCTGGCAATAAAACAGTTGTGTTAAGATGTTAAAGCACAAAACATAAACCTTTTGCAAGGAATCATGTCTGCATTAACCACGTATATTTGTGGTGAACATGCAAAAAAAACATGCTCTGGTAGTATGTGCATTGTCTTTGAAATTGTTTGGAATTTTAACATCTGAACACCTGTTTTATTTACCAGAAAGGGTAAAACCTATTCTTATATTTTGATACTGGCAAGAGAGGTGCCATGATCCAATAGCAGCTACAGATACAGGAGAATATTGTAATGACCGCACTGATTGGCTCGCTTGAATGTACAAACCGCACGGTGGCCTAAGTCAACGCCCTCAAGTCTCAGCTTCAAATGTGAAGGCGATGATGCAGTCCTGCGGTTGATGCGAGCTTCAGGAAGCTCAGCAGGGTATTTGGTTTATTATTCCACGCTGATCAGACTTAGCGTACCCACACTTTACCTCACCGCACATGACCGGCCGATTGATACCACCGGGAGATGGAATGCAAGTGAAATGCAGTAGTAGAGGTTTTTTTGGGGTTAGATCGCGTAAATATAAATGTGTCGTTAAACCCGCCACCACCCGACACAGCCAATCAGTGAGGTTTGTCACGTAAACAAAACGTGTCAATTCCTTACTAGTACAGTACACCGGTGTGTTGGAGAGAAAATCCACGACGTATAATTAATTTAGTAATACTCCGATTTACGTCTGCCCCTTTTAAGTCGTTTCGCAAATACGTCCTTTTATTAATACCACCACATGATTTGCACTGACAGCATTGTCGTCCGCCCTTTCTCGTTACCGACGCCTCCCAGCCTTCGCCTCCACCACCACCCACCACTACAACTACCCCATTATTTTACGTCGTTTCGATATTCGCCGTCGCACATTTCAGAAACGCACCCCCCCCCCCCCCTCCGACGTAAACCGGGGTACTGTATCACTGCATTACAAAACCAAACCAAACACACACACACACCAGCTTCACTCCCCCCCATACAAGAGCGACTCTTGCTCAGAACGATGCCATTGTAATTGGAGGCTCTTACGCCAGTCACATGTGCACTGAGAGCCCACCGAGAGCGAGCGAGCGGCGTTATGCGCTGCGCTCATTGCACGGCGCTCGTGACCTCTGCGCTCACCGCGCGCCCGTCTCGCGAGCTGGCACAACTTGTCTTTAACGCACCCCACGCGTTCCCGCAACTCTCGCAAGCTGCGTGAGGGGTGGGCCTACCCGTCAACCCCTTATCAGTGCCCTACCTTATTACACACCAATTGAGACCGTATTGGTCACCTCGTGCCCTTTATACATCTCAACGTTCATCCTACAAAGTCCCATCACAAGGGAGAAACACAAACAAATGTATTTTTTTTGCTCGTATTCAAACGGCTGTACGCCGTACGGACCTGAAAACTCAATTCCCCTGTACAAGAATACGGGGTAAACCGTGTGAGTTGAAAGCTATGGGTGGTTGCGTGCAACAGAATGTGCAGCAGCAGCAGCAGGAGGAGGAGGGTGATCACACGAATCCGTGGCCTCGCGCAGAAACGCGGTGTCAGATCTTGGCGAGGTGACGGTGCAGCCCAAGCAATCCGGCACCGGTGGAGGCAGCAGCGAGGGTTGGCGGACCGCAGCAATGTTGCGGGACTCTTCTTCTCGCGCCATTACCCCGCTGGCTCCGCCACGACGAAGATGCGGCAGAACGCCGTGCGGGTTCATATCATCAGCGGCCCCTTCTGCATGGGGACGTAGTGTTGTCTCGTCGCACGCGTGGGGTTTCTCCAGGTGCTACGGTTTCCTCCCACGTGTAAAAAAAAAACACTCGTTTATTGGCTGAAAAAAACATCTTAATGTATAGAGGACCGCAGAGCTCTGGGCAATTCAATGGCGCCTTACGGATTGGTCTGTGGCTCCTCAGCGATGGCGAGAGATGCAATTTGCATGAATGATGGCGTTCATTTGTGAACCCAAACCATATTTTTATGACCTGCTTAAGCCATGACTTATGGAATTGGACCTCCACTCGAGGCAACTCGAGAGAGTGAGAGCGCCTCTCTCTGGGGGGTATTTGGCCTACTCTTACACACCTGTCTCGAAACAGACGGTAATTTCACGCAAGTACAGAGTGGAGGCTCCCTCACTTAACGGACTGGCTTAGCCGGCCGTGTTGACGCAGTAATTAAGCTTCACAAACCGCGCATCAGCCTGCCTCTCGCCCCCCTCCAATTCCCATCCCTCGTGCGATCTGCCGCGCACACTAAACAGCACCGGGCAGCAGTGCCGGTTCACAAACCTCCTCCTCCCTCTCCCGCTTGCTGCCATCCATCCACAGAATCAAACATATCAAATGCACCCCCGAGGGGGTTGCGAGAGGCAGCGGAGGGCCATATGGCCGCGCTATTAGACCATCGCAAACCGCCTCATTTAACCTCGAGCAGCCA